TCTTTTTGCTGCTCCATCAATCCCACAACCACACGAACTATCAGGACCAATGAGAGGGAAGGGAGGGTGGGCAGAAGGAAGAAGGAGTGTTACAGTTTTGGGAATTCAAGAAAGAGAGGCTTCTCAGACTTTCAGCAAGGTTCCAAAAGAAATTTCTCTCTCTCTCAAAAAACAAAAACAAAAACCCCACCTGTGTCCAGCTTTTTAAAAAATTGTTACTCTCTCCTTTAAGAAGTGTATAGTATTTAGGGAAGAATCTTTCCAACTTCTGTAGCAAAAGCCACTTTTTATATATGTGTTTTAGGTGAAACTAAAGAGCTCTAGTATATAACATATATAGACATAACAGTGATATAAAGTGCCTTTAAAACAACACATTTTATTCTATCTCTGCTCTGTTTTCCCATAATAGCATTGTCATTGTGTACAGGATCATACATGAAGTGCATAGTGAGAGATCAACATAGGAAACATATGATGCTAATCATGAGAACACAATTTCCCACGTGACAGTACAAATAGTAGGTCTTTGTGTGCCTAAAGTTGCATTGTGCCAAGAGATAGCTTGGCCTAGCATTCTAATAATTCATTATTGTTCCTAAATAAAGAGAGTAGAGAAAACCAGATTCGAGAGTGCAGAAAGCCACACAAAGACCCACTAATCAGTTTGCATAAATGAATTGTAATTGTACAGCATAGAACAAAACGTGAAGTCTTGAGTGGATTTAATACTGAAGCGAAGCAAAGAAATCGTTTCAGAGATCTGAGCAGGCTGTCCACCCTGCCGCCATGCTATAGTCAAACTTGTATAGTGGGTCTCTGAGGTGCTTTCATACTGGAAGACAACAGTGGGTCCTTGAAAAAGAAAAGAAAACAAAATTAGGGATAAATGACTATAGTAGAACATAAGAAGCAGTACTGTCTTAATAACCAATATTCTAAAGACAGAATTAATATGTTTTTAAAAAAATATTTCTGATAATTTAAAACTATTTGGAAACAGGACACTGTGTTTAAAACTGCCAGATGTTGTAACAGTTAATTTTAAAAATTAAACTAACATAAGGGAAAATAAAATCAAGCAGCAAGGTAATTTCTTAGAATATTCACTGAACTTGTGATAGGTAAACTTTAAAGTTTCAATATTTACACCTGATCTTAATCAAAAGCTCAGAAGCAATGCTTATTTGTCAAACCTTCTATCCCACCAGGACTGACGTATCTTCCCAGATTGCCTGATTCTGTGCTTCTATTTCTTTTATTCATCCCACCTACCACTGAACATTAATATTAATTTTGGTGATATTCACTATGACCTGCGTTATATTTATATTATTGTCATGTTATCATTGTATTTTATGCTTTTTTCAGATATCTGCAATTTTAGATGTATATGTTTCTATGTAGTGATTTCTGGCCTAAAAGCATGATAAAGGTTTGTTTTTGTGGATTTAAATGCTATTTACCGTATTTATCGGCGTATAACATGCACTTTTTCCCCCTGAAAATAGGGGGCAAATGATGTATGCGTGTTATACGCCGATGTCCAGGGAGCGGAATCCTCTTTAAGGGATCCCGTTCCCAATAGTGCCTAGCGGCGGCGCAGCGTCGTGACGTGATGTCAGCGCTGCGCCCGCCGCATATTTTTTTCCTGAAATTTCCCTCTTAAAGGGAATGCGTGTTATACGCCTGTGCGTGTTATACGCCGATAAATACGGTACATTCAAAATCTGAGTTACATATGTTCAAATTACATAGTACCACTTATCAAGAGCATAATTAAACAATTATCAACAGACATTGCCGCATTCATCTATTTCTGTGGGCCAATGAGTTCAACACTAATTTCAAGAGATAAAATGGGCATCAAAATGACTTAATGAACATTGGTGAAGGTAAAAATGGTGTTTAACCCATTATGACTACATGTCCATGTAATTTCCGGAGTAACAGTATGGAAGTGGTTGGCCATACTGCCGTTTCTTTAAAAATGTTTTTTTCAGTTTCCCCATCAGCTTGCAAGTACTAATTGTATCTGATTAGATGGTACCATTTGTTGTTGAGAAGCACATAATTAAGATATGTGCTAATATTATATTAAGTTATCCATAAAATTTGGGAGGGAAGACAGATTCCAGCAAGATATTTTGGCACTTCAGTATTAAATTAAGGTTTTTTTCACTGACACAAACTTTTATGGGTAGAATGAACAGACCCAGAAATAGCATATTGTTTCCATATGGTGCTATGTTCAGATTTTACTTAATGAGCTATAATGGATAAAATGAAATGTAATATTCATATAATATACAGAATGGAAGAAAAACTACACTTTTTAAAGATGTATATGCATATGTATATTTACATGTATGTATGTGTGTTTATAGGCATCCAATACATGTCAGCACTCAGACCTTTGCTGCATTAAATATGCTACCAACTCTTTCCATGTTCATATCAAAATATGGAGAGAGGTGGAAAATACCAGCAGTCTAGGGTTAAAGCCTTAGTGTACCTGGAGTGTGTGTGTGGGATAGTGCTGAAATCTTTTCTAGAGTAACTACATATTTCTAAAAAACAGGTTTTCATTTTGAAGTAATGCGATGTAAAGCCAACACTGAAGTTCATACAAGCCAAATTATTAGGGTAGAATATAAGTAATTTCTAACAGTGCATAATATATACAAACCAGAGACATTTTGTTTACAGCAACTTCCTTCTTGGTATATGCATAAAAAAACAAACCAAAAACCCAATATTATGATATGGTGATGACTTTATTTATCTAGAAAGTGTCCCTATGTAAACAAATGACAAATTTGCAATTGCTGTAAAACGGGGGTATCAAACTCACAGCCCACGGGCTGGATGCACCACACACTGGCCATGCCCACCCCCATTTTAGCAAAGGGGAAAAATAATCATGATATGTCAAATGACGACAATGTGACGCTGCGAGTTTGACACCCCTGCTCTAAAGGAAAACAATCTGGTCCACGCACAAATATAAGACTGGCCTTCTAGAAGAAGATTAAAAATGCCAGGAAACCTTATCTTGCTATTATCTCAACGTAGAAACATTGGCTTATCCAATTACTATGGTGCAGCCCAATTTGTTAAATATGTTAAATCTAAAAGTATGAACTACATTGTTAACTGTGTTAAAAGCTAGAAACATCATTCTAACCATGTAGGAAATAATCCAAATTTCATATCAAGGAAATATTTCAATTAGGCCAAATCACAATAATAAAACAGAAAATGAGCATTCATGTCTTATTGATCAAATGGTAAACAAAGCAAAAAATAGAGGAAAGATACAAAACAGTGAATGCTGAAGCCAACACTATTCCAGTTATTCATAAGCTGAGACATAAGATTATATGTATACACATTAGATTCTATCAAGCATTTTAATTATATTAGGCTACATATGGAATTATATCTAGAACAATTCTTGATCTCCCATTTAAAAAACAAAAGATAAAATCCTGCTTCAAAACTATCTCCATCCCTTGTCAAAACACAGATTTCTTAATAATTGGAAAACCAGAGTAATAAAAAGTTGATAACCTCCATATTAATAAGACTGATGTCAAGAAATATTATGTAAATGAAGGCGCTGTATACTCTGAATAAGTCAGAGCTTTAACTTCAGTACAGAGATGACTCCAAATAACCTCACTTTGACTCTCTTTGGTACTAGGTGGGTAGAAAGAAACTTTGACAAGTTTTCAGGATTGTTATTTCGTTGTTCAGTCTGGTATATTGGTTAAGGCACCTGGCTAGAAACCAGGAGACTGAGAGTTTTATTTCCATCTTAGGCATGAAGTCAATCAGGTGACCTTAGGCCAGACATATTCCCTCAGTCTTGGGAAGCAGATTAGTGCAAACATTGCCAAAAATGTTGTTAAGAAAACTGCAGTAAAGTTGCCCGGAAACAAAAAGCTAATTTGATGGCACAAAAAACCCCAAGCCTACAACAATAAGGTAGCATTCCTGGAAGCTTTGTAGGGTTTGTTTTCTGACTTGGTCTATCTCAAAGATCTGATGGATCAGATCTGTGAGGTTGGAAATTATGAAGCCTATATTATAAAACTTCTTTGATGCTTTCTTTTTAAAAAAGGAAAGAAGGCAATAATCCGGGGTGGGATTCTACTGGTTCTGTCCACCTCTTGACAGAGCAGCAGACAGACAGCATACATAGAAGCAGTTCTATGTCTGCTGCTGTTTTGGCCCACCCACCCGCCTGGGCTCTTACCTGACCTTTATTTCCTGCTTTTTCAACTGCAGCTGCTTTGTGCGACACAGCTGTGGTTGAAAAAGCAGAAAAACAGGGCTTTCCCAACCGCTGCGCACTTGCACGCAGCGCTGTTCAGCTGTCCAGGCAGCACAGCAGGTCATAAATTGCACGCGCCTGACGCAGAGCAACAGAACCGGTAGTTATATCGGTCAGATCCCATCCCTGGCAAAAATCCATACTTAACTCTGAGGAAAATTGGACTAGGTTATATTATGTTATCTGTGCAGTATGCCCATTTTATTATGTTACTTATGTTATTATTTTGATTTTATTATATTGTTTGTAGAGAAAATTTTCTCCACTGAGAATTTTTTTGACTGCAGCAGACATAAATTAAACTAGTCTATTGCTTTCTTACTCAAATAGCTCACGCCTCACAGGAAGAGTTCAGCATAACATAATTGGAACCAGGTGGTAAAAAATTGATGGATACTTAATTGAGCTTTCCAAACAATTTCCTTAAAAACTACTGCCATGTTTAAAAAGGCACAAGTTCCACAGCAATGTATCTCAATGACCAAACTATTTTAGTCATTATTTTTAACCCTGCATTCTAAATAACTCAGCATTTTCCTGTTGAAGAAATATATGTGACCGTGCAAATGTACACCTATATTGAATGAGGTATCTGAATTTATTTCATACCAAAGCATGAATACAGAGAAATTCAATAACTACTTAAGCAAGTTTTACTTACACTGTTGACTTGGATCAGAGTCTACAGTCATCTTCACATAGTTTGAAGGAAAGAGGCCATAAACACCATTGATTTCCCCTTGCCACCAATCCATATCTTCTTTGTTCATTACATTTATAAGGTGCCCCTTAGAAAAAGTGAGCTCATCTTCATTGTTTGCTGTGTAGTCATACATTGCTATCACTTGACACACTAACAGAAACAAAAGAAATGACAAAGGTTCTTCAGGTCACCAACAATAACTATTCCACTACTCGCAACAATCACCATCCTTTCTTAAAAATTTACAAAACAAACTATTTAAATTTGTGCATGTTAAATATTTACATTTTACAATTTAAAATTGTTCTAATTCATAAATAGCAATCTTATTTTCAATGGCTCAGTTCTGTTTCTGAGTTGAAAAGTTTCGACTTCTGGATTGACTTAGCAATTGCGGATCTGACCACTCTACACTCAATTTTTAAAAGAAGCCATCAAGTATAGAACTGTAAAAAAAAAAACCAGTTGAAATAAAGGGTGTCTTCTTTTGATAGTGAAGTGTTGGCGAAAATCATTCATGAATACACTTCCAATTTTCAAATAACGGCAATTGCAGTCATAATTTGCGAAGGTAAGCTTTGCTAATTATAAATTGCTAAAATTTACAAATGTAGTTTTCTCTTGCCTGCTTATTTATTACTCATCTTAATAAATAGTACAAATGCTCAGGACATTTAATATGGAAAAATGCCAGATTTTTTTCCAATTAATTCTTAAAAGAAAATAAATTATTTTATTTAAATAAATTTCATTTAACTCAGAAATGTAATTTATTTTCCTAAATTTACTTGCTTACTTGTATACTGTTTCCTCCAAAGATTCTATTATATTAATTATAATAAATTCAGTAAATATACATTCCACATTCTGATGCAACAAAATTCAAACATGTACAAATAGAACACATACTTCCTAGTCTAATCCTATCTTTATTTTGCTTTACTTTCATTCTCAAGCTGCCCTCAGAATAAAATTTTGTTTTTTTCTTCTTCATAATGTACGAAGCCCAAAACTTTATAAAATTCAAATAATTTGGCTATAATGCATAATAAAGTATTTTATGATTTTATCGTAACTCTACATATCGATGGTTTTATGTAAAATCTGAATATATATATATATATATATAGAGAGAGAGAGAGAGAGAGAGAGAGTGAGAGAGAGTGAGTATGTCAAAGAAATCAAAGTAACACAATAAACAACTACATTGAAATGATGTACCAAGAACAAAATATAACGACAAATAAAAGAATAAAACTGAAAATAATACCCAAGTTATATGGCTTGCACCTAAAACTATGAGAACCTATAGTTTATTGAATATATCACAATTGCATGGGTTCCCACATGAGTCTAAGTCATAAAGCATAAGTTACAAATTACAATGGATGAAGTCACACGGTATGCTAAGCTAAAAAGAAACACTTTGGTTTTACCATAAGGTAGGAACTCATCCCTCAATTAGAAACAAGTTTTTATTGCTCACCTGGATGAACAGCTGGCATAGTCTTTTCATTGCTGGGACCCAACAGCTTCACATGAGTAGCGGGAAACCATCCTTTTTGTCTTTTTTTCCCTCTTGCCTGAAAAACACAATTGGAAATCCAAAATCTAATGTCCTTTTACTTGCATACTTTTAACTTTGCTGAGATTGGCAGTAAGAGTCAGTCTTTTATGTTTTCTTGCTCTGCCCTATGTACGAACCATGGTCTCAGATTTAATACCTTTATTATTCATACATTTTGGGACAGCTGGATTAACAAAATGTGTTCTTCTTCTACTAGTGGATTGATTTGCGCCAGTAAGGCAGAAGAGTGCTAAATTCCTCTCAACAGCAGATGATGCAAGAGGGATACAGATCTAGTTTTTGATAGATAAGTGCTTGACATGTCTATTTGCTTATTCCGTCTTGTTTTCATTTATATTTAACTACTGTGTATTGCTTTTGGTTTCAATCAACCAATGAGATCTCCTTTTTTCATAAATTTTTTCTTCTTGAAATAAATGCAGTTTTGCTCTCTCTCTCTCTCTCTCTATATATATATATATATATTTTTTTTTTTCTGAGGTTCTCGCGGGTATTTGTATGTGGATCTTTGGTTGTTCGGGTTTTCTCCCGCATAAGATTCGAGGTATCTAGGCAACGTTTCAATGAAGTCTCATTCATC